CCCCCCCCCCCCCCCCCCCCCCAAAAAAAAAAGGAAAAAAAAACAACCAAGAAAAAAAAAGAACCACACAAACACCTCATGTTTTTCAAAGAAAAAAAATGTATGCTTGAATGCTTATCTAATGACTTTATTATACGTGGATCAGAAATTATTGGCGGGATTATGACACGGCTCTATTTATGCTTAAACACTTGTATCGCGATATACCCGAAGAGCCTCCTGAACTTCCAAGTGGTGAAGGCAGTTCGCGATCACAGAGGAGGGCTATAACCCTTTTCTATGAGAAGGATGCATTGGATGAAGATTTTCCTTTGACATTCTCTGACAGTTCAGCAGTCAAGGAGTTTTCAAGGAAAGCAAGAAAAGCCATGAATACCTCTTCCTTGTGATCCTGTGGCATAGTCATATCAGCATAGCTGTGAGTAACATACTATTTTAATTATTTTTCCATTTCGTTTTACTACTAGGATTTCCGTTTTGCTGTTTGGAACTGCATTTAGTGGAATAGCTATAAACTATTAAATTCAGCAGCAGATGTAAGTCAAACTTGATGTATCTAGCTACCATTCAATTTTATCTTTATTTCTGTTTCAAGGAAATGCATATATAATGACACGAAATATTTCTCCCCATACTTTTTTTTTGGTTGAACTGTCATGTTATCTTTTGTCTACTTACTTAAAAGTGAGACACAATGATAGGGCCTCTCCCTTGCTACACGTACGCATGAGAAGCATGCCCATTGATATACATAACTCTACTTGCATGTGCACAACAGAGGCATAATGATTAGCAGAAATATAATGAATTCAGTCCCCATAAGCTGTTATTGAAGTATATTGTTTCTTTTTTCTTGTCATCACCATTAATGCAGTATGCGAAGTGAATAATATAACTTCTGTAATAATGTTACAATATATTAAAGTGCAATTTCAAAAACCGATAGGTAGGAAAAGTGCAAATAAAACTTAAGTGCTGTATTTTACAGGTACATATTTTTGGGCGGGGAGAATTAGTAGTTCTTTAAAAGTTCTAGTTAGGCCATCACTTTTGTGGAGCTAAAATTCTCTTCCTTACAATCTGCAGGAAACATCTAATATGAACATCAGGGCTTTGGTCACCGTTGAAAAATGACATGTAAAAAGCTGACAAATGATACCTTTGACCGTTAGCAAATGATATATTCGACCATTGACAAATGATATATTGGAAAGCCTTTGTTGCTGTTGACAAATGATATGTTCTCTTCAATGCGTATGCATCTACTTCCGTGTAAATTATGTTTGTATTTTTAGTCGATCACTAGACAAGAATGTATTGTATGTATATTAGTTTGTACCACAGAAAAGGTTATGGAATGCTGTAAATAGATGTGCTGCTGCAGTCAATGAAATAGAAGTGCCTTCCTGATTAAGCCACGTTCGTGTTTGCAAGGTGAAATTTGTGAGTCATCTTATCTTAAAAAAAAATGAAATAAGAATGTATTTTAGGCTAAATCCTGAAAGCGTGGTGACTGTTTCAATTATGGAGTTTTTGCTTGTGTTCTTAAGTATATGTCTATTGACAAATTTAACTTTTATCGCCTCCTGGAAGTAGTTCGATTTAATTGTCGGTTGTGTTTCTGAGTTCAAGTCTGAGTTGTTGATGGTATGTCCTTTAAGCTCTTGTGTTTCCGAGTTCAGTCTGAGTTGTTGATGGTATGTCCTCTAAGCTCCATAGAGTTAAAGCGTTGTGATCTCCTTTTAGCTCTTGTCTATAGTGTTAATAGAAGAGTGGAAGCTACTTAGAGCTGCGAACACCTGTGTACGTGTTCTTTTCTTCACCTAATGGTAGAAAATATCAATATCTGTTCTTTTCTCTTATCTCTTTCCTTTTTTCTTTTTAATAAAATTAATACTAGCTTGATTCATCCTTGGTCCCCATCCCTGTCGTCTGGCTTGTGATAATAGCACTACTACTTCTACACTATTTCTGTACAAGAGGAGAAGTGTGGGATCTCTTCAACTTCTATTTTTATTTTACGAAATTAATGACTTATTATTGGAGCCCACATTTGTAGAATTAGTTTGGAAAAGAGTAAGGTAGATATTAGTTTTCTTGTCGGTCCTTCTGTCCCGCTTTCTCTCAAATGATGTATCCATTAGATTATCTTGGTAGTATTAATGGTGCATTGAAGGATGCTGGTCTTCGAACTAGGGTTTAAATTTCTAAATTCATCTATCCAAGAATTAGTATACTGTTGATGAACCATCAACGCTATGGACGGTGATTGCTAGCTGTTTGATCTCCTTTTAACCATCGTAACAAGGTACTGACATGTGATTCTCTGAAATATGAGAAAGTATCTTGTTACTGACATGTGATTCTCTGAAATATGAGAAAGTATCTAGTCAATCTGGTTCATGACATCAATGATATATCAAACGCACATCAATTCTAGGTTTGATGCACAAGCCTCAAAGTCCAGCCAACCATTGGTGTGTGTTGATGCAGATAGAATTGAGTTCGTATGAATAAACTCAAGGATGAAGGCTCAATGATCTCCTTGATGTCTAATGCGAGCACTTGCTAATGATGGCATGAGATACACAGAAAATGCGTTAGATTGACAATGATAGGTTGTCTACTAACACCCCTCCGATACATAAGCCAAACTCTCGATAATAGTAAGTCAAACCAATAGGTAAATCTAGATTAGGATTTTAGAAGAAAAGGATCATAAATTGAAAGTCGGTGGCACTGAGCCTTGTAATTATATATCTCTTTTTACCTGAGATAGGTGGGGGTATTTACACCGATTGCCTAGCACTGATTGGTATCTATATATGTCACCATCTTGATGGTCGGGGTTGTGATGGTAGCTACATGCTTGCAAATACATCCACGTGGTAGTATCTCGTTGGCTTAGGATGGTATAGCAGACGTATGTATAGATTTGGTAAGTCATGAAAGTTGTCAAGTAGAGAGATTGAGTATCTGATCAATATCTCCTCACATGGTATGTGAATGATATGATACAATCAGAATCAATTATCATCAATTAAACAGACCGCCATAAAATCATACCGGCTTGGGGTGGAGACATAGTAATTGAACTGATAAGTTTAGCTGTTATGGATCTTTACCGTTCTATCTGGGCTTTTAGGTTAGGTCCATGGACTGTGACCGGGTTTTATATGCTAAGTGCAAATGTCCTATACTTTAATAAGGTAAAGTTCATGCCTAGTTGACCGAGTCAACTCCGTATCATGACGTGGTTTGGTAGCCCAAATATAAAATCTTGGTTTTATGCACAACAGTGTGCAAAGGTCATGTCATATTTACGTTCATAAACCATCTCACTAAATATGGTTCTCTCAAAAGATCACCCCCCGCGAACCCGTGGAATCTGTTGTTTGTTGACTTTGGCGCGTTGTGAACCTTTAAAGAGATGACCAGCTGAGACTTCATGTGAAGCCCGTGGCCCTCAAGCCCTAAAGTCCTCAGCGCAGCTTGACGCGTGTTCCATGCTAAGCTTATAAAGTGACAAATGTCCCTCATGGTTCTAGCAGCCCCAGGTCTCACATGTGCGTGAGAAAGACTGCGGTAGCTGGATTGAAAATATCAATTCTCCGTAGACGTAGAAACGAGGAGGCCGATCGAATATCTTTCCGATACTGACAAACCCTAATAATAACAGATAGATAACAAGCTTAAATCCACAAGCCCTAATTTTCCCAAGTTTAGGGAAGAAAACAATGGAGAAATTTCTCTTGATTCAATAATTTAAAAGTTAATTCTCGATTTATAAAAAGAACTAATATTTATAGCCAACTAACCCTATCCTAACCCTAATTGAAAAGAAAGTCTGAATTTAAAAGAAAATAACAAAAAAATTAGGGTTAACATCCTAATTATTCAAATTCTCGAATTTAAACATGAACTTTTTGCATGACCATCACTAACATGATATGTAAATTAACTTAAACAGATATAGACTTGCTTAAATATGTTCATGTCATTAAGTTCCCGCAAACTTAGGGGTTAAGCACAATTAATTAACATGTAAACTTGATTAATTACAAAATCTATGTTTTTAGCATGAGTTAAACAAGATTAACCAATTAAAACGAAATTAGAAGATACCCTAAAGATCATGATCATGAACTATCATAAACAACAAGTATTAAACATGAAATTAGCATGAGATTAAGATCTAACATCAAAAATCATATTTTTAACACCTCAGGTTAAGATCTAACATGTAAACAACAATTCAAACATCTCAAATTCATTATCTAACTATGGGGATAAGATTGGATGCAGATAATCTTACCTTAATCTCATGTACAAGCCTCTGAAATGAACAACAAGCAATCCAAAAGTGCAAACAACCCGTTTTCCATTGCCACACGTCGATGATCTCGCCCTCGTATCGGTATTTTACTTCACAAAGCTCACAAACTCACAAGAAATTGATCTAGGATTTTTGAGGGAAGAAGATGACCGCTAGGGTTCAGAGATATCATAAAAGAGAAGTTTTTTTTGTGAAGAATATAGGTATTTGTAGAGGCAAACGCGAAACAAACCCGTTTGACCCGAACCAGGAAACCTAGTCTGACTGGGAAAATAATCTTTGCTATTTTAGCTGTAACTTTCTTATACTATCTCAGAATGAGGTGATTTAAGATTTGTTGGAAATCCGTTGAAGATACCTACAACTTTTGTATTTTGAGTTTTTTAGATTCGAACTGTATCGGTGTGTAAAATATAAATACTCTTAACTGGTCGTTTTTCCAGATTTCATGCTCGTGCATGTAGTGCATGATTTCACTTCTATATTTTCATATATACATTGAATTAATCTCAAATCAATTTTTAGCATACTCAAATATCAATAAATATTATTTATCATAATATTTTCAAATTTACGGGGTTGTACATCCTCGATCATGGACAAATCGCAACGAGAAGTAAGACGGAAGATTTCTTCGGTATAGGCGATCAATGTCCTGACTCCTTGACGACATTGCTCAAACTGATTATAGAGGATTTGTTGATAGTCGGGTGGTAGAAATCTAGCTTGTAGTAACTGCTTCATGTGTCGCCAAACCTGAACTGCTTGCTTGCCTTGCCGTCGCCTAGTGTTTTGAGTCTGATCCCACCATGCCGCGGCTCCTCCTTTGAGACGATATGCCACAAACTTCACCTGGTTTGATTTGGGAATATTAGTCATCTCAAAAAACTTCTCCACTTTGTAGATCCAATCTAGGAAAGCCTCTATGTCCATATTTCCTCCAAAGGAAGGAAGCTCTACTTTCATCCGATATTCTTGTTCCTGATGATGTTGGCCTTGTCGGTGGTAGTTGTGACGAGGGTTGAAGCCTCTACCCCGACCTCTGCCATAAGGTTGATCTCCATCTTCTTCACTCGACATGTTATCATACCATAGCCCTTCAAATTGGTTACCAAAGTTCACTCCATCGTCGCTGTAATCATCATGGGGAAGGGTTTGATTGGGAAGTCGTCGATCATGTGGAGGGGGTTGATATGTAGGAGGTTGATATGGAGGGAGTTGATATAGAGGTGGTTGGTTTGGACGTGGTTGATTTGGAGGGGGATGAACTAGAGGGGTTTGAGGATTGTACGTGGGTGGATGTCGTGGCTGCCTAACTCTGGTTTAGGTGAAGACCATCGGTGAAGTTATTCCCACTGTTGAGGTGAAGGGTAAGTCCTTCAATGGCTTGTTGAAGGTTCTAAAAAGACGTCTCCAACGTGCCAAATCTTCCATCCTCGCGGAAAGATCCTGTAGAGAAATTTCCTTCTCGCCGTCACCTGCCATTGTCGAGGATGTTGAAGCCGAAGCTCTGATACCACTTGACGCAAACGTAGAAACGGGGAGGCCGATCGGATATTGTTCCGATGCCGACGAACCCTAACAATAACAGGTAGATAATAAGCTTGAATTCACAAGCCCTAATTTTCCCAACTTTAGGGAATAAAACAATGGAAAAATTTCTCTTGATTCAATAATTGAAAAGTTAATTCTCGATTTACAAAAGGAACACTTATAGCCAACTAATCCTATCCTAACCCTAATAAAAAGAATATCCGAATTTAAAAGGAAATAACCAAAAATATAAAACTTTCATAATCTGTTTCCGAGTTGACACGAGGCATGTCGAGTAGTAACGCTTTTCGTGTCGACTGGCATGTGTCGATTAACACCGCCCTTCGTGTTGACCGGGGTGCGTCGTCTCGTCTTGTTGTCTCGATTGTCGATTGAGGTGTGTCGTCTCATCTTGTCGTCTCTACTCGGAGTTGAGATGTCGAGTCGTCGTCTGCTGATGTCGTCTTGACTGCTTTTCTTCTTGTCTCATCCAACACTTGATCAGCTACTTTTTTTTCTCGTCTCGTCCAATACTTGATCTCCTTTATC